GAGAGCGAGAGATAGAGAGAGAGTGAGTCGGTGCGTACGCAGTTGCGGTCCCGTTTCAAGCGTAGGCCCGCCGATCGGGTGACGAGGGAAGAGAGCACACGAGAGTCTCGTCTCGGCGGCGAGAGGGAGGGGAGCCACCGAGGGGTAGGAGAGGCACTCTGGCGACCTTGGAGCGACCCCAACCAAGGTCGCAGACGCAGACGCCCCTTCCTTCTCGCGTTCCACGATTTCCCTCCGTTGCCCTCCGTGCAAGACCGCGCCCTCTCCGTGCCTGTCGACGCGCCCTCTCCGTGCTCCGCGCGCGCCGATTCCCCAGGTCGCACGGCGTTAGTTTGGCTCTTCCTTATCGCCCACTTATTCCCTCTCCTCCCACCACACCGCCGACTTTTCCACGGCGCTTTTCTCTCGTTTAAAACGTAACCGGGCTCGCGGATCGCTCGGAGAACAGGTTGGCAAATGCGTAAGATTTTCGAACCGGGTGACGACAGGTGTGCACAGCGATTCGTCATGATGTTTGGGAAAGTTCGATGAACACGTTTGTCTACATTCTCATTTGGATTCACCCAACAATTTGTATATTTTGTCTCAATTCCTGTATATATATATTTTTTTTTTTTTTTTGTTATACTATACTATATATTCATTTCCTGTATTAAAAATACAACATTTGGCAAGGAGTTTGAAGGTGACGAGATCCGGATCATCAATCAGAGGATTGTTCGTACCTCTCGGCGAGACTCGTATCGAGAGCCTATTCACGAGAGGCAGCGGGATACTCGTGAGAATAACGCACCGTCGCGCGGTGACGCGTATTTTTAGGGCAAGTCGTGGAACAACCTCGCCTTTCAGGCGAATGATTCGCGTTATTTGTGTCCCGGTTGCACGGAATGCCTTCGGGCACTGTTTGCGAGAACGTTCCAGCGCGATAGCGCCGGTTTCTAGCCTCTTTATCGTCCACTCCCTCGCAGCTTCGTTTCTCATCCTCTTTTTAACCTCACCGACACACCCTCGCGTCCTTTATCTCGTGGCTTTTTGCGTCGTTGCATAGCTCAGACACTTCGACCAGTGACATTTTATACGATCCTCTTGCTTCGATTTCATGTGCCGATGCACTTGCAACACCTTTCGTACGAAATTCAGAGCTAATTTGGTATTTGTTCACTCGCACAATTCAATCCTTTCCCCAGTGGCGATTCTATCCACTCACGTGGAAAAGTTATTCAAATAGTCAGATTCGAGAAGCAAGCCTGTCACTGGCCACGATCAAACCCAGGCCAAGTTCTTGAAAATTTTCCTACCTACTCTAACTTCATTGGCGATATGCATGTAAACTCGCAGTTTCGTGGGCCAGCCTGTTTGCGTTTTGTCGGCACGCTTTTATTTTCGCGACCGGGTTTATTCGAGGCGGGGTCGTTGGATCGGTCGAAGGACGAAGCGAGAGCCGCGTCTGCCGGGCGAACCAGACCGTTTCTGATGATTTATGTAAACAAGGTTGAAAAGCTCGCGGGAGGTCCGACGCGTGGGCCGCTATCCGACGACGTGGTTCGCCCCACGGCCTCAGGATCTCGAACATCATCGATGATACTGATTCCTCACGCCGCTACGCCTACACCTGCCAGCCTCGTTCGTATACGGTGTTTGATCTGGGAATTTTATCGGTTTCTCGTCGATCGTGTCGATCGTCACGATCTGACTTTGACTCGAGTGAAGATTTCACTTCTTCGTTCGTTTCGGCGGATTTGGAGGATTCCTCTGAACACTTTGGGATACAGTTTCACATCGAGAGTTCGAAGGGTTTGGCTTCACGGACGAGGCAAATAAATTTCGAAGGACAAAGTCTCTGTGGCGTGTTTTGACGTCTCATTTTATTCAGATTTGTACTTGATCCGTCGCACCAAATGTCAAAACTAAAACCTAACCCAAAGCTTCAGCCATAGATCATAAACCGATCGAGATGGTATAATCGACAGGTTTTTTTGAAAATCGTGGGCCAGCAACGTCTAACAGGTACTTTTGGATTGACATGGTACAGGTTTCAACGGCGAAGAGCATCGAGATGCCTCGATGTACGCATCAGAATTCCCCCTTTCGTTGCGGGGGCCACGTGGCGTTGAGCTTGGTATTTGGGGATGATTCGAGTCGCTCGACAAGGGCAGGCACGCCCGTTTCTATGACAACAGACGCGCAAAAACCCCATTGATACGAGGAGATGTACAGGACAGGAACAAACCGACGTTTCCTTCCATCGTTTACGCGCGTTACGATCCACGCAAAAATGCTCTCTCCGCCGGATGGAGCGCTCAACGTGTCTTCTGGATGCTCAGACAGGATATCCGGCGTCCTGAGCTCGCATCATTTGGACGAACATTCTCTTGACATTAAGATGATGAGAGATGTAGCGAGACTGTACTGAACCAGACCAGTGGTCTACAGTCGAAAATAAAAGAGATTGGCTTTAACCCTTTCGGTACGAGAGCGCGTGGTCAGTTTCTCTTGTGTATAAAGATTTTCCTTAGCGTTAAATAAGAACTGTGCTTAATAAAACAATGTTTCTTCTCTAACAAATGTCGTTAGTTTTAATATTAAAAGACATTTATATTAAATTCTGTTAATTATACAAGTAACCAGAATTATATAAATACACACAGGTCATCTGATGGATGCCGATATATATCCGGCGCTCGTACCGGAAGGGTTAAAACTTGAAGCTACTACCTGTCAAAAATCTTACGACCACTCTTCTTTCGACAATACCATAATCACGAATACGTTAGAGAATCGACCGCTTAATCTCTCATTCGAACGTGTCATCGGCGGTCATTTCAGGCGTTAGATAGCGTAATGGTGTTAGCATGCCTGGATTATGGACGCGCGGACGCAATCGAGTGTGGCGATGATTGGATGGTGTGGCATCGATAGCATAGTCGACGTCCTTGCTCTCCTAGATTGACTCGAAGTAGATCGTTTGCAACGCTCGTAAAGGAACGCGGTCTATTTCTCGTGAGGCCCTCCCTCCTCTCCCCCCTACCCGCCCCTTTTAATTCCAGTTGGCCACGCAGAAGAAGCGAATCGTACCTCGATCGATCATAGATCGCGGATTCAACCTTTTGAAATAGGACTCGAACGTCGGACGAAAGGCTCACTAAGGAGACTTATTGGATTGCATGATAAAGCTCGTTCGTATCGTCAATGATGGGATTAATGCGTATTACACGGTTGTTTATTCCTTGCGGATGAATCGAGTAACTTTTACGTAGTTTTTACATTCTTTGAATTGTATAATTACCGCCTGTCGAGAACATCTTTCTTGCGTTGGAACGACCAACATTCCAACGTTGATGGTAAATGTTCCATTGAATTTAAATCGTTCAGCAATCACGAGTCAAATATTTTCTACTGACGCTGAATGATTCTTTTAATATCTTAAATATTGTGCATTATACTTTCAATGTCACGTTACAGTGGGCGATCGGTTAACGAACACTATCGCGAAAGATATTTATGTATTCGAACAACGACGTTGTGTGTGCAAGATTTGTAGAATTGTGACAGCTAGAGATCTGGAATTGCTGGTGGATCAAGATTGAGACATTGAAGAGTTCATAATGGAAGTGATCTGACGACGGAAGAACTTCTCAAGGACTTTTGGAAGAAGAACAAGAAACTCCGCGAGATGTATTTTCCTCTGAAAGACGAAAGAGAACCGATGCTGTCAAAGATTCTTTTAAAACAAGCAAGAGGATGTCAGAACAATATTTTAGAATGAAAAAAGGTTTTAGAATGGCATCCAAATCAGATTGAGGTCAATAGGCTTGGGGATCTCTACAATGATAATGCTATTAATTACTTTTGAAAAATCTTGAAGGAACAGAGAAAAGATTCTTTGATGAAAAAAAAAAAAAAGAAACATGACTGATGAAAATGCAAGACTGTGTACACACATGTGTATTATTGTTATTACATATAAATAAACGTAGTAAGAAATTAATCAGATCGCCATAAGAATCTATAGCAAATCAATGATCGGTTAACGAACAATTTGGATATGTATATAACACAATATTTATAGTGTTATTATAAATATTTATAGTGTTACAATATATATTTATTATATATAGTAGAAATATTTATATAGTAGAATATAGATATATAGTAGAAATATTTATAGTGTTATAATGTATTCCTTTCTATTTATAAGCATCATTAATCCATATCATATGACCCTTTGTTCAATGTGGATGAATTATATATGCCTTCCATTCGATTTTCTATAATATCGATTTTCTACAATATCTTGGGAAACGTAACGCCAGAAGGCGAATTAATTTATTATTTAGCAAGTCATTTCGTTCGTGATATAGTGAACGTCAGGTTAGTCTCCGATTTATTTGAGAATAAATTTCGGTTAGATTTTTGTCAATAGATACTTTACAAGTGAGACGCGAGAAAATCTAGGTTATGTTGTTATTCTAAATTCGCATTAATTTTGGAGTAGTTTAGAGATAGGTATGGCACAAAAGACAAGAACAACGGCCGACTGAGGTGTCGAAATTAACGAGGCTCCTGTACACTTTCAGCAGATTTTCCTTTGCTACATATTTATGATGGGGTAATGAATGATATTTGCATATTTATGAGGACGGTAGAAAACACGCTCATCTGTCGAGAATAATTTATCAACCGGTGCAAAGATTGTACTTACCTCTGGTTCGAAATTCATTTCAGCGCCGACGATGGTGCGTCTTCCAATTCTTCACGGAGATAATTTCACAATTTTATTTCTATTCGCCCCAACTCGGAGAAGTTTTCCATTTGTAAGAACGTGACGATAATTTTGTCAATTATTAGGACTAAGAAGTCACTCAATTCTACCAACGAATCACCGTTTTTATCAAACGAACGAACTCGGACGGCAGTTTGGCGTCAAATCGAATTCTAACTGTAAACGGAACAAGAGGCCAACGTTGGGAAATATTATCGCGCAAAAGTCACTAGACACCCGCATCGGCGTCGGTTGCTTAAATTATAAAATAAATCGCCACGTCATCATTCACATTTGGAGCGATACTCAAATTTAAACATTGACGGCTCTGTTACCTACATGTGGACGACGATCTTATCTTTAAATTTCAATGCACGAAAAGAATGTAACGATATTTAATAGAAAAATGCAGTCCTTAATGATAAATTATCTGAAAATTAAACGAATTAAATTAACATCAAATAACAATGTGGTAAATAATTGAATTACTCTGAAGAAGTCATAACTACTTTATTTACATAGAAATACACAATATTACAGTGATTGCTTGCGATGTACTGGACACACATTTTAAACAAAGCCAACTGAGATTTCTTTTGTGAATTCTCCTTGTAAATGGTATATACTTGAGGAACGTAAAAAAATATATAAGAATCTGAACGTAAAAAAAAAAAAAAAAAAAACACAAAAGCATAAAAATAAAAGAATAAACAACGAAAACATAAAAAAAAGGTATAAGAACAACAAGATGCATAAGGAGCAAGTCGAGATTGCAGTAAGTTTGGATTTGTGTCCTCGCAAGAAACCTGCTCGATAGGTGTACGTGTTAACCTTTAATCAAGCGTTGCACGTTGCTTTCAACTTCTCGATTATCGAGTAAAATTGTTACGTTGTCGCTAAGGAAAGAACCTTCTAGCATACAGGCACGAGGTTTTCGGCTGAAAATTATGGAAGAGAGTACACGTTGCGCATCAACGGTTGATTGTTTCTTCTTTCAGTTGCCGATTACATCGGCTGTTCGATGCTTCGCTTTTTTTCTTTTTTTCTTATCTCTTAGCCAGCCTGTTATTATACAACAGCGTGATTTTCTAAGGGATTGAATTCCTATTGTTAGTTCCGTTCGTGGCGGAAACCACGTGCAATTTTTAGGTTATCTTGGATAGTGGAACATTCGGAATCGTGCATCTTTTAATTTTTTTTTTTTTTACCTCAAACAGCTTTAAAACGCATGGAATAATTGGAATCGTGCGTTTTTTCTTTCTTTTTTTTGCTGGACTGGAGAATTTCATGTAGCGTGCGACAGCGCGTCGTAGAAAAAAAATCCCTAGCAAGATGAAACTTACCGTAAACAAAGTTCGAACCTGAATGATTCTTTTTAATACCTGTCCTTTCCTTGATCATCGGAATTTTTAATATTTATTCGGTCGAAAAATAGTTAGAAAAAAGAAATAAGTACAAGGGGTAATTTATATCGATTTATTGAAATTTTATGTAGCAGTTGCTCTCATTCGCAAATGCCAAACGTAAGAAAAGTTCGTAAGACGTGTATATCTTCGGTCGACGTTTCGAAAAAAAAACGGGTATAACGTCCTCGCGCTAAAAACGACGCAATGTCACCGCGCGCGAAAATACGAGCCAGGTGATGCACGCCATTCGCGGAAATCGGTCGTACTAAAAATAATCGTGAAACGAAAGTCAAGTATACGCAGCTGTCCGAATACGATCTGCCCCGTGTTTACTAACTGTATTGCAACCTTCTCGATTATTAATGAATTCGATCGAATGGAACCTTGCACGAGAGAAATTTCAGGAATTCAGGAATTCAAAGGTGGCGCGAAAAGCAAGTCAGATGGCGAGGTCTCAGTTGAGACGAGAGAGAGAGAGAGAGAGAGACGAGAACAGGTCTGAAAGGTGGAAACGGAGGAAAGCAGTCGAAGATGAAGGGAGGAAATAAAAGGGAAAGTCTCGGCAAGAAGGGCAGCGCGGCAGTCATCTTTCGTCTTGCTACCTTGCTACCGTGAAAGAAGACAAGGATCTCGCAGAAGGCCGCAGGAAATTGCTCCGGGGCAATAACGACCCGGCTATAAAACACCGGGCGTAAAAAGGTCCGGATAGGAATGGAGAACGGCGAACACCGGTAGGAAAAAAAGGAACGATCGAGGAAGAGGGTTCCCAGATGCGGATGAAACTCGGCTTCGCATTCTCATGCGAGGAGAATGCAAAAAACCAGCCATTAACGGGAAGGGCTGCAGCGTAGAAATATCAAAAGATGATGCTTCTCATCGTCAGGGTAGGGCGTGGATGAAAGGAGGAAAAAAGAGTGGAGGAGATCAGGAGAACAGGGAAGCTCAGCTTTCTTTCAACCACCACAGGTTCGCTTGGCCGACGTTTTAAGCAATTGATCTGGATTATCGACGAGGGATCGGTTGTCCTAAAATAAGACTTAACTAGAAGTCATTTAGTGCTATATATTGAGATCGGAAGAGATATTCCACTCTTTAGCTCTAATTTAGTGAATATTAATATCCTTCTCTTAATCACTAGAGTTGTTAACACGCCGTGCTGCCAACGTAGCGTGAAGAAAAGTTCTTAGCATAGAGTGGGATATTTTTAATGATGACGACAGTTTGGTGTTCGTTCGGGTTTATTGCAATCGGGTCACGTTGCGTCTGTTTTAACGAGAAGCCAGGCAGTCTTTAAGGCGCGCTAATAGAACGAATTTATAAAACACGCCCACGATCGCGCTCGCGGTCTCTGTTTACTCCGGTGCAATGTCTCGGCAAGGTCACGCATGATCGTTCGCTCGTAAATACTTTTAGCGTGCCCACCTACGGACGTTCGTCGTGGCACAGATAAATATGCGCGAAACGGGCTGCCTGTTCAGTTGACACCTCGCCTGGGCAACGTGTCAGTCGATCCTTTTAACCCTTCTCTTTATTAGAAGTGACTTTATTAGTAGTCACCCAACCCAACCCTAGTTTTCATCATTGCCAGCACAGTGTCACTTTAATTTTCAAAATTCTCCTCGCATTCAATTCAA